GAGTCACTGAGCCTCGTGCAGAGGAACTGGTCCAGGCATAGAGACACATGCACTAAGTGCTCCCAGGAGAGAGGGAGAGAGCCCCTTCTGCACAGGGGCCCCAGGGAAGCTTCAACCATTCACTCAAAGGGTGGGTAGGCTTTTGTGTGGTGGACATGGAATGAGCCTTTCTTGGCGGAGGAACCTGAGCAAAGACAGAAGCTGGAAGACCCAGAGTGTCATGGTAGTCAGGGAGAAGTTCCGTGGTTCGTAGGAGGGTGAGCAGCCACCCGAGGATGGTGACTATCAGACCAAGGGGCCTGGACAGAGATTAATTGGTGTGCTCTCCTAACATCATTAACAATAAGATCTGATTTCATTCTTCATTTTCCCCCAAAAGCCATAAAAGTGTTGTATTTGAATGGAATTTCTAAAATCTAATTCATACGTCTGTCAAAATGGGCTGCAAACTTGAAGGGTTTTTGTTTTTTGGTGTTTTTTGGTTCGTTTTTTTATTTATTTTAAATTTTTTATTTAAATTCAATTTAATTAACATATAGTGTATTATTAGTTGCAGAGGTAGAATTTAGAGATTCATCAGTTGCATATAACACCCAGTGCTCATCACATCACATGCCCTCCCTAATGCCCATCACCCAGTTACCCCATCCCCCCACCCCCTCCCCTCCAGCAACCCTCAGTTTGTTTCCTAGAGTTCAGCACCTCTCGTGGTTTGTCTCCCTCTCTGTTTCCATCTTATTTTATTTTTCTGAAGGTTTGTTTTGATTGAAGTTCCCTACAACCTGAGCTCTTTGGGATCTCCCCTCGCTCTTTGTTCTTCAGTTTTCTTTGGAGCCTTTTACGTGGAGCTGCTTGCAACTAGGTCACCCCGTATCACATCTGCATTTCTTTCAAGAGAGCACCCCTCCCCCAAAGGTTCCATCCTTTAGGTTGGTGGACAAGGAGAACCACTACTATGTTCACCACATCCCTGGAGGTTTAGGGGCACAGGAGAAAAAGGCCACACGACAGGAGAACCCCTGTGTCCTTCTTGTAGCCCATCCATCAAGAAGGTGGCTGTTAACACAGTGTCCACAAAGTGAGTTGTGTGGGAGGAGATGTGTTTATTCGGCAGTGTGATAAATGTGCTGCTGGACCTTCAAACAGTCCATCAAGGAGACCCCCTTTTCTTCCAGGGTATCAGAATACATGGCTCAACTCTGAGCCACTTGGGGACCACCCAGCTGCTCTGAGAGGTGTCTGAGATGGGTCCTGGTGACCCAACAAGTTGTCACAGAGGCTGAAAGGTGGAAGGAGCCCATCTGGTCCCACCTCTGTCCAGCATATAAATTCCTTCTCCATCCTCACCTTCTCCTCCTTACAGAGTATTGAAAGCTTCCCGAGGCAGCCGATTCCATTTTTCGACAACTGTGTGAAAGAGTTCTTCCTTAGGCCATATCATAACTTCTGCCTGCCACTAGAGCCCTGAAAAAACACTGATAAACTCAGCCAAGCACTCGTGGAACATGGTATTGTCAACACTTCTAAGAGGGGTTCCTGCTAAACTCTCCCAAGATCAATGAAATATAAACCAAGTTCCCAGCTAAATGAATCATTTGAGCTGTTATATAAAATTACTTTTATTAACCTAGACATCCCCCCAAAAGATAACGATTCTTTTTTGTCCTTTTAAAATAATTGGTATTTTAGCCTCTCTTCTTTTTTTTTCCCAATATGGTAGTTCTATTATTTATATATTTATTTTAATTTTATTATATTATGTTATGTTAATCACCATACATTACATCGTTAGTTTTTGATGTAGTGTTCCATGATTCATTGTTTGCGTATAACACCCAGTGCTCCATGTAGTACATGCCCTCTTTAATACCCATCACCAGGCTAACCCATCCCCCCACCCCCCTCCCCTCTAGAACCCTCAGTTTGTTTCTCAGAGTCCATAGTCTCTCATGGTTCCTCTACCCCTCCGATTTCTCCCCCTTCATTTTTCCCTTCCTACTTCTTTTTTTTTTTTTTAACATATAATGTATTATTTGTTTCAAAGGTACAGGTCTGTGATTCATCAGTCTTACACAATTCACAGCGCTCACCATAGCACATACCCTCCCCAATGTCTATCACCCAGCCACCCCATCCCTCCCACCCCACCCCCACTCCAGCAACCCTCAGTTTGTTTCCTGAGATTAAGAATTCCTCATATCAGTGAGGTCATATGATACATGTCTTTCTCTGACTGACTTATTTCACATAATACCCTCTAGTTCCATCCACGTCGTTGCAAATGGCAAGATTTCATTCCTTCTGATGGCTGCATAATATTCCATTGTGTATATATACCACATCTTCTTTATCCATTCATCTGTCGATGGACATCTAGGCTCTTTCCATAGTTTGGCTATTGTGGACATTGCTGCTATAAACATTGGGGTGCACGTACCCCTTCAGATCCCTACATTTGTATCTTTGGGGTAAATACCCAGTAGTGCAATTGCTGGGTTATAGGGTAGCTCTATTTTCAACTTTTTGAGGAACCTCCATACTGTTCTCCGCAGTGGCTGCACCAGCTTGCATTCCCACCAACAGTGTAGGAGGGTTCCGCTTTCTCCGCATCCCCACCAACGTCTGTCGTTTCCGGACTTGTTAATTTTAGCCATTCTGACTGGTGTGAGGTGGTATCTCATTGAGGTTTTGATTTGGATTTCCCTGACTAGACTTTCGTCTAAAAAACGTTGATAGTGGGCCCATTTGTCTGTTGAGGTTAGCATCTGAAAATCGTATAGTATCCGGCGTGGCGAACACTGCTTCTCGGCCTCCTCTCTGGAGAAGGGTGCTCATGGCTCCCGCTCACCCCGCAGCTATTCTGGGTCATCCAGAAGGGAGGCCAGGACAAGCCTCTGTGCTCCACTCGTCATGACTCTCCATCCAGCTAATCTCAACCCTCAAAATGCTTTATGACTACGTTATGCAGAGTGTGGTCCACGGAACCCCAGGCCCGCCCTTCCCGCTTGCATCTGAAGCCGTATGTGTTCTTTATGTTGACAAGAGAAAGGGAGACTGAAGACACTGACTTCTGTTGGGAACGGTACAGAGCACTCATTCCCCACCATCGCCACCCCCTTTCTCTTTTATCAAATCAAGGAATTCACTTGCAGTGAAAATATCTACACGATCATCCTCATCCCCCTAAATCTCCACTCTGTACTTTGTCTTTCTTTTTCAATAATTCAGTGGCTCTGACCTCTTCCTTCACTTTCCCCTGGCACCGCAATGCTTGTGAGTTACTAGTGCTCGCGGGCTATCAGGACACCTCTGTGCAAGTGTGCGCCAGAAGACATAACCAGTGGCATGGGAGAATGGGAATGTTCAGATGGTCTCTCGGGGTGTCATTGGTGAGAGAGCACCACTGTACCTTAGTAGTGTCAAAATCTCCCCCTTTCTCGGGCCATCATTTTAAAATAGAGTATTAACCATAAAAAAAAGGATGAGATCTTAGCATTGGCAACAACATGGATGGACCTAGGGGGTGTTATGCTAAGTGAAATAAGTCAAACTGAGAAGGACAAATACCAAATGACTTCACTCATGTGGAACTTCAAAAACAAAACAAATGAATAAACAAACAAAAAACATAATCAGAGGTATAAATACAGAGAACAAACTGATGGTTGCCGGTCGCGGGAGGGGGTAGGCAGAATGGGGGAAGGAGAGTGGGAGATACAGGCTTCCAGTGATGGAGGGAATAAGTTAGGGGGATAAAAGGCACAGCACAGGGAATATCATGTTGTAATAGAGCATTGTACGCCAACAGCTACACTTGGGGCGAGCATAGCATAATATATAGAGAAGTTGAATAATTATGTTGTACACCTGCAACAGTGTAACATGATGTCTCCACTATATGCGAATAAAAAAAATAAAATAGATGGGGCACCTGGATGGCCCCGTGGGTTAAGTGTCCTGACTCTGGATTTTGGCTCAGGTAATGACCTTGAATCCTGGGATCGAGCCCCCACATCAGAATTCAAGCTCCTGCTTGCGTGCACTCTCTCTCTCAAATAAATAAATCTTTTTTTAAAATAGAATAGACTATTAAAGCAAGTTGGGAAAACCACAGGAGGGTCTTGATTCTGACCCCTGGCTGCTTTGGGTAGCCACTATAGCCATTGAGAGGCTCCCTCATTTATTGAAAGAGCAAAGACCCCAAATTACCCATAGGTAGTGACCGACTGCTCTGAAATCCTTTCTGCAGTTGTACGCAGTTCTAAGAAAGTATCACTTCGGGAATGCTTTTGGAGAAAACTCGTGAAGACCCTTCGTTCCAAAGGAAGGACCAGTCACCTGCTGTGGCCCCAGGTTATGGCGGCAGCATCCACCTGGGACAGTGGGAACCTCTGGGCACTAGCAGAAACACTCAGTATAAGAGGACACCAGGAAAGGAAGGGGCAGGAAAGACAAGAGGCAGGAGGTGAAAGAACCCAGAGCACGGTCCTTGGCCCCACCTGGGACAGACAGGCAGCCGTATTTGTTGCAGTGCCCTTAATGCAACCCGTGTTCTAGCCCAACATAGGCAGGACACATTGCTGCTTTATGCTGAAGCCTTTCCAAATGGGAGAGCCGGTTCTGAAGGAAGGGGGTCGTGTTCGGTGAGGAGCTGCTGTGCGCACGTCCGGATGGCTCTCTCTCCAGCCGCCAGCCAGGGAACCTGGTGGATGGTCTCAGCCGGCTCAGGACAGCCCGAGGAACCAAGGCCGCGGCTGCTGGTGCCATTTCAAAGACCAGAAAGGAAGGAGTGTGGATCTCTAACTTGTTCTCACAGTGAGGGAAGTGGGAATTGGAGGGTGTGGAATTAGCAAAGGCCAACCCGGGGACTACACTTGGCCCCACGATGCAGTTCCCCGCCGGGAACAGCCCTGGGATGGCAGACCTTGGCATTTAAATGTTAGAAATGCTCTTTCTGACCTTTCACAGCTAATGGAGCCTGTGTCTTTCTTTGCCTTCAGGTGCACATCGGCCAAATGTATTCGACTGACAAGCTTATCATTGAGAATCAAGAGAAGCCTAGGACCTAGGGGGCCGGGACCAGCCACCACCAGCTTCAGCATCCATTCCGCGCTTGGGGTGGGGGCTCCCCCCAGACCACAAGTGGCCTCTTCCATCAGCTTAGAATAGCCTCTTGCTCAGCCTGCCCTGTAGGAGCTGATAAACTGAGTCCGGTTTCCATTCTTCTGCAGCCTTAGTGGAAAAGGGTGGCTGGCTCTCCTTGATTCAAGTGTCAGAGTGAAGAGCTGGAGCTGGTTCAGAATAATGCTGTGTATTATTGTGTCTCCTCTCAACCCCACTCCTCTTTTGTATCTCACCACCACTTGTATAGAGCCCCTCCACCCTCTGTTTCTCCATTGACAATAAACAGAATTGTCTCCCGAAGCCTTCCTATGCCAGATACGCTCCTGACTATGAATGCACTTTCGTTCCCTGCTGAGGCAGGGCCTGCAGAGGGCTGTGGGGACCCAGAGGGAGGGCCCAAACCCGAGCTGAGCCCTCCCTTTGTGGAGGCAAGTCTAGGCACCCAAGATTTGGAGGGCAGCATGGAGTAGGGCAAGGCCAAAGGGGTAGAAGGTGCATCCCGCAATTTATAGCTGGGCCCAGTACAACCACAGAGGGGCTCGCCTCTGGCTCCCCACCTGGAGACAGGAGACTGGTGGCTCTGCTACTCCGACTGTGGTCTGAGGATGGGCACCAGCAGCCCCGCCTGGGAGCTGGTTGGAAATGCAGAGTCTCAGGCCGCACCCCAAATGCTTTGAATCCTAACCCTGAGTCTTAACACATCCAGGTGCCCCCAGCCCACGCTGAGATTGGGAAAGGGCCACTCGGCTCTGCCTCCCAAAGCTGGCTTCCCCGAGCTCCCTTCACAGAGCCATAAGCATCTGCAGAATTGGAGAGTTTTTTTAAGAGGAATTTCTTGGCGCTTCCCTCCCCTCGGATTCTGACTTAGTGAGAGGTGAGGCATGGTCATTTATATCTACATTTTTAAAGGTCCCCTAGTGTTTATACATCTAGTCAGTTCTGGAAACTCTGCTTTTTGAAGATATTGCAGGTAATAAAGACATTGGTATGCATTTAGCCTTGGAAACACATCAGCTAAAAACATAAAAAGAAGGTATTAAATAACTTACTTGATTTCTGGGGATTTTATGGGGGACCCAGATACTATCTGAGTGACTTGTTTACCTTTGTAAAAGGCACTAAGTGAATTCATGACTTAAGGTGTTGAGGTTTGGAACAGCCTCATATGAATATTTCCAGATTCTAAAATGACAGTGTCACTGAACCTGCCCCTGACCCATGACCCCTGTCATTCTAATTCTTATAGTCCTGTGAGTCAAGCGAGAACAGTCTGGGCCCTCATGCTCTCCCATGTGAAAAGATCACGTCTGCCCTCCTCACCCCCAGATCGTGGAATTTGCTGTGCGTTCAGAATAGATTACAAGTGTACTCCTGGTTGGCAGTACAGCTTAGGACTTCAGAAGGCTTTTGCCCATGGATACTCTTGTACACCGGCACCTTGGTAGGTCTTGGACCTGACCCCCACGCCGCAAACAATGTTAGCGCTACAGTGCGGAGCAGACAGGGAGTGTAGGTGACATGGGAAATGTGCTCTCCCCCTTCGGCTGACTCTCATGGGACAGAGTCACCCACCCTGGGATGTGCGGCTCTGGGTCACTTTTTCCACTCTGCGTCAGTAGGATATGGTCCAAGGACTAGCTAATGGATGTCACCTCTGATTTATACTTAATGAATTAAAGCAGCTGCTACTTGGAAACCTAAGTCCAGGGTTGAACCTCTCCCCTTGAAGTGTCAAGTTCCTAGCATGGTATCCGCTCCAGAGGAGACTTCCCTCCCAGGTTGGAGTCACAGAGGCATTGGACCAAGCAAACTTAGCTCGTTCTGCAGGACATAACAGCAGGTCACTTTTATGTTAATTAAAGCCCACGGGGGCACCTGGGTGGCTCAGTTGGTTGGGCGGCTGCCTTCAGCTCAGGTCATGATCCTGGAGTCCTAGGATCGAGTCCCACATCGGGCTCCCCGCTTGGCAGGGAGCCTGCTTCTCCCTCTGACCCTCCCCCCTCTCATGCTCTCTCTCTCAAATAAATCTTCAAAAAGATAAATAAATAAATAAATAAATATAGCCCATGAATGGGTTTGAACAGGCCCAAAGCCTTAAACAGCTTAATTTTTGTGACTCGGATAAGAATAACTATGCGTTAGGAATATATAGAAAGACATGAGAGAATCCTGTGCCATAAAATCCACAGTCTAGAGCCTGTCTTCCAGGCACAGGTGAGGCAGGCAGAGCCTTGCACTGGGCACTCCTCAACTCAGAGGACCCAAGGTCGACTCTAGAGCTTTGAATAAAGTGACGTGTCCATGGGAGTGTCTGTTTCTATAGTTAAGTGTTCCCTGTGCTCCACTGGAGCCCCACATCACACTCAGCCTCGCAGACCTCTCTAGTGTGCTGGGCTGTTCTGAAGGAGTGATTCGGGCTGGAGTCTGGAAACCACTTTGCGGTGTCAGCATTTAGCAAGTGAGAAATGCCAATACGAGTTAACCTCTGAGACAAAACCATTGGCCAAGCACAGCTATTCTCTAGAGTTCCGGAGACGACGCTTGGTTGGTCTGGCTATCATGCTTTATACCCGGGAAGCCTTCCTTAAGCACAGGCCTGGCTATGTTCTGATGGCGGTTGTTCTCTGGACTCTGGAGCTGAAAGATGATCATGGATCTGATGTAGCTAGCTTCACATCTACTCTGCCCTGCCACCAACCCCAGTTACTTTTAACTCCCTTCATCCATAGCTTCATCCAACATCTCCAGCTCCTGAATACCACCAACAGTGCCACCCAGCATTCAGAAGCAAAGGGGACAGGCTAGGGGGACATCTGCAGATATGACAATATGGCAGAGCTGCCTGGCATTAGAGTCCACCTGATCCAGCCCCCACATCGGCAGGTGTGAAAACCAAGATCCTGAGCATCCCGGGTCATCTGCAGACCTTTCCCTGCCACCCCTTTTGCTGGTCTTTTCGTTCATTCAGCACTGACTGTGAGCCAGCTGGTGCCAGGCACCAGGGAGAGACCAGTGAACAAGGCAGTCCCTGCCTTCACAGAACTTGCAGTCCAGGAGGGGAACTGGATGAGAAAAGACACGTCTGAGGAGTGTTACAAAGGCTGAAATAAAGGTCCTCTAGGAGCTGATGGGGAGTGTCTAGAAAGCCCTCCCTGAGAGAAGCGTGATTTAAACTGAAGATTAAATGAGGAGTTGGCGGGACAAAGGGTAGGGAGAGGAGCTCTCTAGGCAGGAGGAACAGCATATGCAAAGACCTGAATGGGGGGGTGCTGGGGTAGGAGGAGAGCACTGTGCAAGGAACTACCTACAGGCAGCCCAGGATGGCTGGCAAGCAAGGATGAGTCAAAAGGCAGGGAACACACTGCAGAAGGCCCAGGGAGCCTTGGCCTGTGGCTGTAAGATGCTACTGAAGTTTTTCAGCAGGATGAAGTTTGTATAGGGGGAATCAATTGGGAGAGATGCAGGGAGACCACCTTTTATGGGCTGCGGGAGGAGGGTTAGATTGAACACCAATCCAGGTAAGAGATGGTAGTGACTTCGCCTGGGACGGTGACAGTTGCAAGGTAGAGTCAACATCACCCTGAGAAGAGCTTGCTTTGACGCAGCTGCTCTCCCAAGGTGAGTGAGAGACACGTGGAGCAGAGGCGCCCAGCTGAGCCCCCCAGCCAAGTCTTGCTGAGGTCAGTCCACTGCAGCCAAGCCCGAGGGGGCCTATGATACAGAATAAATTACTGTTTAAGGCACTAAGTTTGTGGGTGGCTATGGAGCAATGACAAGCTCATACAGAGAGCTAGTATGATAATGTATCTCTTTTTCAGGGCCACCTAGCAAACCAAAGAGTAGGTAGGCAAACTTGATAAAACTGTGGGGCTCCTGTGTAGAGCCCTTTCCACAAGCACCCACAGGTGTCACATGTCTTACAGACGAAAGGGCTTGCCAACTACTGGCCCCCATTAGTGTGTGCCTAGCACAAAAGAGGACCAAAAAAAGAAAGAAAACTGAGTCAACAGGACTTGATCATTGATTGGATGTGAAGTGAAGGGAGGGTGTCACGGGAGTCCAGGAGGGGTCCCAGGTTTGGGGCCTGGGTGACTTAGCAGAGGTTGGGCCACCAGCTAAGACAAGACGGCAGTGGGCATTGTCTGAAGCTTTGTCCACCTGCCAGGTTCAAATAACCTCAAGTTCAAACAGGAAGACTAGCGTCTACAAATGTATCTCTTATTTCCAAATGTTGAAAATATTATTTCTGGTTCTTCCAAACAAAGAAAAAAATCCACTGGAAGAAAATTTAAAAGACCCTTATAAAGAGATTTTACCCAGAGCTCTCTGTAGAACAAATATACTCCTTCTACAAGTAAAGCCTACAGATATGTATTCTCTCTGGGGACAGGAGGAGTAGGGGGAAATTTTTCTGTATTTTGCAAAAAGTATAAGATGTTTAAAAAGGCGAAGGAAGGTTAGTCTACATATTCTAAGAGTATGGTTCTAAGAACGCAACTAAAATGCACACTAAAGGGGCGCCTAGGTGGCTCAGTCATTAAACGTCTGCCTTCAGCTCAGGTCGTGATCCCAGAGTCCTGGGATGGAGTCCCGTGTCGGGCTCCCTGCTCAGTGGGAAGCCTGCTTCTCCCTCTCCCACTCCCCCTGCTTGTGTTCCCTCTCTCACTGTCTCTCTCTCTCTGTCCAATAAATAAATAAAATCTTTACAAAAAATAAAAAATAAAAAATAAATGCACAGTAAAATATCAACAAGTATACAGAAAATGCACCAATATGTTTTATAACAGAATGAGCTGCTTAGGTTTGTTCAGTAGCTTTCCAGACTGAAGGATATCACAGGTACTGAGGCCAGGCTACAAATATAGCTGCAGCGGAAGAAATGATAAGCACTCAAAACACAGAAGGAGAAAGCATTTCCTACGCCAAGAATGATGTTCTCTGAGTT